GATGGCATATTTACATATTTCGGGACCATTGAGCATCATACTTCAGTGCTAGAATATATGCCATTGTATGCCATAATTCATCCTTTCAATGCCTTTGTGGAGTTGTGTTTTGTGCCTTAGACTCGGGGCCATTGCATTGTGCATGTTTGCATGCATCTTGGTTACCTCATTTTCATCACATGGCCACTGATTTTGGCATGCTCGCGAGCTATCCATATTAGTTTAAGTCCATCATCGCTTATTGTTGCATGCCATGTTTGCTTACATGTTTAGGTTGCGTGCCTAGTATACATTGCTCATTTGTATGTTCATGTTGCATACTTAGCCTCCATGCCTAGGTTGCATTTCATTGAGCATGCATCCGGGACGTTCCGTACTCTAAGTGACGAAACGTGTCTCAATTTCCGGTTGCCGACACTCCGGATTAACCATGATGGAGTCTAGGCCTTGTTGTGTTTATACGTGCATTCATTTCACATCGAGTCGTGCAATTCGACTCCTCAGCCATCATGCATCGAGATGCGTGATTGATGGCACGAGGATCGAGGTCTACACCCCCTTGATCTTGTGCAAGGACGAGGAGTGTGGTCGTGCACACATTTGTTGAACATGCCTTGCCATGTCTCTCTCTTGCTTTGTGTTGCAGAAAACCAGGATCCAGGGGCAGAAAGTGGTCGGCCGACCAGGTTTTCTAGCAGGTGTTTCCCAAGCCAATACCTGGTCGGCAGCCTTCCCAAGGTGGAGTTTCAGCCTTCTAGAGCTTTGTGCAAGTTTTTAAAATCAGTTGCAAACAAAGGCGAGACGAGGCATCGCGATGAAATTTTCCGACGAGGCGACTCGAGCATGCATACATCTTTCATCATTCGGAACAGAGCTGAGGCGGTCCATGAATTTACGTACTAGTTTATTGCTTTCCTAGTTAATTTGTTAATTAATTAGGGTTTTGTAATAATTAATTATTCATTCGGACTGTATTATTTATTCGGACCCTCCGAACGAGGGCACAATTGTAATAAGCGTGCGTGTGTGTAATGTATGTCTTCCAACCCCACGTCTTTCTCCCTTTTATTTATCAGCTTATGATAGTTAGATTAGGGCATGTTTCAATTAGCATACTTGTGTTCGCATGTTTGCATTCATTCATCTGTCTTGCATGCACCGGACTCGGCGCATCATACTAACTGCATTGTATTTCAATTCCGAGTTAAATACATGTTAGCTGTAGCATCATCACATGCCATCTTAGAACAGCCGAGCCTATTGTAGTTGCATTTTTGCGTGTGTTGCATTAGGCATTTCAACATAGTTAGGATTCATGCATGATTTCTAATCAGCTTCTGTTTTGGCTTGGAGTACTCGGTAAGTTCTATGCTTTAGCATCCTTGCATGCGTGTGAGTGATTGCCATGATAGCATGCTTACCATGAGGTTATTTGCTTATATGATATATCTGCCTGAATGCCTGTGGGTGAAGGTTGGATTATCTGAATTGGAATAATGCATTGACTGTGAGTTTTAAGCCCACTAGCTAGTGGCAAAACCATCTTTTCTAAGCCCACCCGAAGGTGGCAAAATCTACATTTTTAGCCTACTTGCGAATAGCAAAACCGTTTTAAAAAACAAACATGAAATGTTTTGTTCCAATTCAGACGATCCAGTCTATACTTGTATGCTGTGCGCATCACATAGTAAACCTAGGCTAATAACCGGAATAAGAACGCATACTGTTTTTAAAACTAGATATCATGGTTAGTAGAGGCCGATCTTTGATCAGGCAAGCGGGGGTGCTCACGAAGTGACCTTCTCCAATCGTACCAAAGTTCCCGAGCCGAGGCAACTTTGGTGATGACGGACACGTGGCCTTAGACAAACGAGTCAGGGTTTCCTAAATTTCCCAAAAATAAAATATTTAGGTGGCGACTCTGTATCTGACAAAGCAGTCCATGTTTGGCACTTCTTTCAAAAAAATCTGTTTTCAAAAACGATTTGTCGGATTTGGACTCTTTGATGATTCATCGGTCTTGCATTGTACTCTGCGAGATTAGATACAGGACCGTGACTTTGAGTCCTGAGCTGTAGTGAGCCCCAAATGAACAAAACGGGATTTCCCTCCCGGGACGTTCGGGGACGTCTACAGTCCCTCTCTCACTTTCCGTAATGGAAGAGATCCACAAAATTATTTTTTGATGTCTAAGGTCCCTAAACATATCACAGAGAAATTCAACCTTACCAAATCAAAACTCATCTATCTCTCTCTCTCTCTAAACTTCTCGATTCTCAGACCTGTCCAGATCAACTCTTGTTCCTCACCCCTAACTTCATTCTCCAGCCGATTGAGCTCCACCTTCACCGGATCTGACCCGTGTAACAAATTCAAGAACTCATCCGCGTCCAAACTCGGCGGCCTTCGCGGAGCTTGCCTCCTCGAACTCTTAAACGATCCCTATACCGTCAACGATTGCCGCCGTTCTCGCCGTAACTCAGTTCCGGCGCCATCGGTGACACACTTCTCATCTCCAGAAGAGAATGACGACGAACGGTCGGCTAACGGCCCGTCGCATTGTGGACGCCATTATTTTCAGCCAAGACACGTCGAATTCGTCGATCGCAGTGTTCGCAGGTCGATCTATGTCCTCTTCATTGTGGCGAACTGTTAAGCCCGCTCCCGAAGACCCCATTCTCGGTGTCACTGAAGCTTTACCAACATTTGGCCTTCCAACAATGGCAACCTTTGGAAGAAGACAATCAGAGATCTACAGATGGAATTTTAAAGCTCAAGTAAGTCACCACCACACATGCAAAGAATTTTATTTTCGCTTTTTTGAATGTTAAACAGGTCCTGAAGTTACAGTATTTAAAAGCCCAATTTAGTTGAATAATTTGAATGGTTGAATGAATATTTCAATGGTGTTTGAGATATATAAACACTAAATTAATTGATTTTGCATATATTACTGAACTTGCATCCATTGCAGTTCTGCATAAACTAAATTTTTTATGGAGTTAGAGATATATAGACGCTAAATTAATTGATTCAGCATATAATAATTGTATTGCATCCATTGAGGTACTATATAAACTCCATCCCTTTAACAACCCAAAATTTCCTTTTCACTTCAGCTTACTGTTTGAATAAAATTCTCTAGGTTGTTAAGGGAAATTTCTCTGGTTTTGAGAAAATTTCTCTAGGTTAAAGTGAGTCCAGAGAAATTCTTTCTTGGTCAAGAGAAATTCTCTGGATTTCTCTAGTTTAAACTCAGTTTGTTTAATTTTCTCTACCTTTAATTGAGTAAAATTGGATTAGACATCCACAATATTATGTAGAATCAGAGCATTCTCATTCTGATTCAGAACATTCTCATTCTGATTCACTAAATTGAATTTCACTGATTCAATTGAAAATTCAAGAATTTCACTGAATTGAATTCAGTGAATCAGTGGACTCCATCTTAATCAGTCCAATTTTACCAAAGAATAACACTGAATTAAATTTTCTCTGGTTTGGACCAGAGAATTTCTCTGGAATAAATTGAATTTTCTCTGGGTTTGGACTAAAGAATTTCACTGGATTGAATTTTCTCTGGTTGAATTTTTTCTGGATTGATGTTGAGAGACCTTAGACATTATAAAAACATTGAGTGTCTTTTATACTATAAAATTATAATACCAGAGACCTTAAAAAAAAAAAACCCTATATTTATTGTTTAAATTGAGTTTTCATTCTCAAACTAAAATTTTCATTAGCTATGTCGAACCCACAAGTATATTTAGGCCTAGTTTGGGAAGACTAAATAAGTGTACTTTTTGACTTTTTATGAAATATGGATCGGGTTTGGGTTGGGTTTAAAGTGATGTGCTAGAGAGGTGATGTGACTTAAATAAGTTGATGTGACTTAAATAGGATAGTGACTTTTTGACTTTTTGTCTTTTTTCAATCATGCCAAACTTGGCCTTACACCCCAAATAGGAATTGTTTGAGGATGATATAAATGAGTGTATTTATTTGATACGTATACTTATTTGGGTCATATTATCTCTTTATTTTTTTAAATATTTTTTACAAAAAATAAAAAAATATATTAAATAAGCAGACTTTAAACAAGACACAAATTTTTTTTTTTTCCTCCTGAATCGTTAGAGTTGTTGATTTTTTTTGGGTTGCTGTTGGGCCTGTGGGGATCTACACGGGTCCCGTTTCGATAATCTGAACCGTCAATGTGTAGAACTTATCGATTATTATATATTTATAAAAAATCACGTTGATCAAATAGCGATAGCTATGTAATCAAATTAGTTTTGTATAAAAAAAATGAACGATGAACAAATTAACGGTTGACAGAAAACTGATTCGATGAGATATGTATCGATATCTGATCAACGTAATTTTTTACAGATATATAGTACTCGATAAATTTTACACATCGAACAATTTAAATTATCAAAATAAAATTCATAATAAATTTTTACAGACCTAACAATATCCTCTAATCCAATTCAAGACCGGAGGAAGCTGCTCCCATTTTTTATTTAGGGCAAATTACATATACCCCTCGAGGTTTGGCTAAATTACAAATACCTCTTGAGATTTGAGAAATTATAAATTCCCCCCTGAATGCTATTTTTGCATAACAAATTAGGGGGCAATTTATTATGAAATTTAAACCTCAGGGGGCAAATTGTTATGAAAATACAAACCTCAGGAGACGGAATGTAATTTCTGAAACCTCAGAGAGTATCTATAATTTAGCCAAACCTCAAGAGAGGTATATGTAATTTGCACTTTTATTTACTAGTATTATATATAATAAAAAAAAGTGAAAAACTGACTCGTTCCTAGAATCCGGTAACCGAAGACAACACATATAAATACAAACACATACATACATACGATCTTCACTCTTCCCTTCTAAAAAAAATTAAAAAAAATTCACTCTTAACCGTCCCCCCACCACCATTCAACATCTCCATTTCATTTCAAATTCTTTCTCTTTCTTCTCTCTTTCCAATCTTTTTTCCCTTTCTTTCTCTCTGTCTCCTCATCAAGGTTGCATTATTATTTATTAGGGTGAGAGCATTGAGGAACACTTTGGTGGTTGGGTGGTCCCCGTGAACAGTTTTCCGGTTCATTTTCCCGGAAAATCCATTTTCGTCCACACCATAGTCATTGTTGATCCTTTTCAGGTACATAGCTGGTCTCTTTTTCCATCATTTCCTCTTTTTTCCTCCCTCATTGCACTGAAATGAAATCACTACTACTTTTGTATTTTTTAACTTTTAAACCCTACTATTTAAGATAAGGTTTTCAATTTCTAGTCATCATTTGTATTATTAGCCACAAAGCATATTTTACTCTCTCTCTCTCTCTCTCTCTCTTTCTGATTACATACATTTTTGTTCTTTAGAATCTTGTAATCAGTCGCCTAATTGCGCTACTTTGTGCCGACTATGGCTTGGCGAAATATGATCTCTTGTTGTTCTTTTCCCAATTTCAGGGGTATCTTCCAGGTTAGTTGCTTATCTTTTTATTATTTATTATTAAATAAACTAAAGTTGTGTTTGGATCTTGAATGAGGAATTTGTGGAGAGAAAATGAACAATAAAGGGAAAAAAAAAAAATTTGTTTATCTTTCATTCACTTTTGAAAATACTATAGTTTATCTTTCATTCACTTTTGAAAATACTATCTGCCATGAATTAAAAATTGTTTATTATTCACTTTTAAAGTGAGTTAGTATGATCTAATCATTCTCTCAAAATATAGTGGGTTTCGTTTGAGTTTTTTGGATTAAATTTTTTGAAAATTGAGTTTCTTGGTTTTTGTATTTTTTTGATTTTATCGAACATTTTTAAAATTTTAAACATTTTTTTTACTTTTTTAAATGCACCTTACTTAGATATATCAAAAAAGTAAAAAAATTGTGAAAAAATATTTAAAAAATTAATAAATACATAAAAATACAAAAAATGTACTGAATTTTCGTATTTTTTTTTTGTATTTTTGGTATTTAGTGAATTTTTAAAAGGCTTTTTTCACAAAGTTTTTACTTTTTAAGTATATTTATATTAGGTATGTCTAGAAATTAAAAAAATTGCTTAAGATATTAAAGCAATTCAATAAAAACAAAAAAATTTGTAAGACAAGAAGGTAGAATTTTTTGAAAAGTGTTTTTTGAAAACTGTAACCAAGCAAAGTTTTAAGTAGTAATTTAGCTTTTCATGGAAGGATTGGACATACCATTGGATAAAAATTAAAAGAAAGGGTTTAATTTAAGTCAATTTGATTAAGCTTGTGTAGTTGGTTGATTAATAGAAGATATGGAAATGCTTTTTTTCCGGAGTGTAATTTTAATCAGCACAAAGTACCCAAAACTTGAAGTGACAGAAAATTCTTTGTTCCCGTATTTCTCTGTCCCTCTGTCTCAATACACTTCATGTCTCGAGGTTTTTGTGTCTAGAGATTCTCATAGGCATTGAGGCAAAAGAACAGAGGGATTTCGGGTGGTCTACCATAAATCATGACCTGAACTCCAATCATCAGAGTTTGATCTTTTTACGTGTTGATCTGTGATACTCCTTAACATTGAGTTTCCCTACAACCATCTTGTTAAATTAAGTGACTTTGAATGCCTAATATGATTCTGACTAGTTAAGCCATTCAAACAAACCCAGGACTAAGTCTGAACGGTTGTCATGTGAATTGATCTAGTGGGTAAAACCCTGATGATCAGTGTGCAACTGTGATCAGATAATTTCTTGTACCAATAGTAAAAGACAAAACATGCCATTTATATGGTGGAAATATTGGTTTATTTTAGTGTTTTGTTTTCGTGTTGATAAAAGTGGAGCCTACTATATTTCTATGGGATTAGATATTTGAGGACTAGTCTGAAATTATTATTATTATTGTTGATATGGGAAGAAAGGTTTGGTCAGATTTTAAAGTATAAAATTTTTAGATTCATAACTTTCTTAGGTGTAGGAGAAAAGTAGTGTCACCTACTGCTTGCTTGAACTATTCCAAATTGAAATTTCATGCTGCTATTTCTACGGTTGTGACTTGCATGAAATTGACTGCAATCTTTTGTTCACAAAACCTATATTATGTCTCCCTGTCTCAATGCACTACCAGTTGCACGTGACACACTGTTCGTTCAAATAAGAGTATTGAGACGGGACAAAAATTTTGGAAAAAGAGAATTGCATGCTCGTGAAAATCTATATATAGTTATTACAATTTATCACAACAGAATTCCTTTCCTGGAAAATTGTGAATTGCTTAATACATTGGTAGCTTCACGTATCAAATACATAGCAATATGTGGGGTGATCTCTTCATGCTTGAAAAAGTGGTGAAAGTAATTTGTGTGATTGATATTCAAGAGGTTAATTAGCACAGAAGATGAGACAACTTCACAAAAAAAATTTCCCATTAAGCTGTTGGTCTTTTCAATGAACTTGTTTAATGTAATGAAAATTCAATACTTATGTTTTTGGTATTTTTGGGAAGAAATAATGTCCTGGGAAACAATACTATTGTTTATATCATAATGACTGTTGTTCGTGTTACCAAACTCTTCCAGACCCTACTGTAAGCGGGAGCTTTGTTCACTGCTACAACCTTTTTTTCATTTTTTTTTTATGTCAGCAGGGTAGAATGAGCGAGACAGAGCTTGGTGCACACACCATTAAGTCTCATGGAGCCTCAGTTGCAAGGAATCACAGGCATGATTGGCTTATATTGCTGCTTCTTGTGGTCACAGAGATCATACTATATATGATAAACCCATTTTACCGCTTTGTTGGGGAGGAAATGATGGTTGACCTCAAATTACCATTGAAGCCGAATACTGTTCCTGTGTGGGCTGTTCCTGTGAGTGTCTCTTTTTTTGATTTATTAAATTTGAAATCGTGTGTCTTTCTAATTTCAATTATATAATTGGGATCTTTCGTATTTGGTTTACTACTATCCTTTACAATTTGGCTTCATATTTATCAACTTGTTTACCTTGATTTTATTTAGTGAAATGATGCTGATATCATTCAACGAAGAAGAATTATAATATTTAAGATCCAACAAGATCAATTTGATTTTTTAGATGAACAATTTGAAATATTAATAGAAGCACATTTAGTTGAAAAAAAAAGAAAGAAAGAAAAAAGAAGTAACGGACCATTTAAAGGTTTTTTGATTTGATCTTAAAAGTGAAACTTTTTCTAAATATGCTAATAAACATATTCTTTATTAAATATATTGCACATGCAATACTCTCTCTCTTTGTGTACACATATATGACATACATATACATGTCTCTTGGAATTCTAAATGAGATTAACAATCGATTTACTAGATATTGAGTAGCAATTGAAACAAATATATTACACTTTTAATAAAAATTAAATGAAATCCAAAAAGGCAAATTCATGTAGAGAATGAGAAGAGGACAATTTCAATTTTTAGTTGGCACATGTTGATTTTTTGAAAGAAAGTACAACTGATGAAAACTTCTTTTCTTGATGCTCAGATGTATTCAATATTGTTGCCTATCGTCATTTTCCTTTTCTTCTATATTCGCCGTAACGATGTCTATGATCTCCACCACAGCATATTAGGTAATTATATTTCATGCATTTTAATTTCAATTTGGGAACCCTTTTCTTGCTATTGGCTGATTAGGAAGTGTCTAGTTTGATGCATGACTTGTACATACTTATTAAGTGCAGGCCTCTTGTTTGCTGTCTTGATTACTGGGGTCCTCACTGATGCAATAAAAGATGCAGTTGGCCGGCCTCGACCTGATTTCTTTTGGCGTTGCTTTCCAGATGGAATTCCTGTATGTAGAGTGTTAGATTTATTTTGTGTCCATCAATCTAGTCTTGCATACCTTCCTTACGTATTTTTGTTTTGTCTCCCCTCCAGAAATATGATGATAAGTGGGGTAATGTCATATGTCATGGTAACCCTAGCGATATTAAAGAAGGATACAAGAGCTTTCCGAGTGGCCATACTTCATGTAAGCAACACTTCCTACTTATATGCTTGAATTTTTATCTTAATCCAAATGTGTAACAAGTGAGAAGAAGACATGTTGCTTGCTATATTTAATTTTTATTATGCATCTTGTAAATATATAATCTTAATGAATATTTCATTTTATTACGAACTTTAGAGGCTTAAATGGTATAATTTTAGTGGCATTAGGATATTATCAATGTTAGGTATGATTAATTTTAGACAATAGCTGTGTGTTTAGGGTTTATGAGGCGTCTATGTATAGGCCTTATTGGTGTAAAATGAAATTAGATTCAAAGAATGAATAAAATTTGGGAATATTTGAAAGAGAGATGAAAGAGTTTCTGTATCCTACTTCCTCTTCCTCATCTCTAGCTTTCTCAACTTTGTTATATCCTTCTCTCTGTCGTGCGCACACACACACATTATTGTCTCCTATTTTTCTTTCTTTTTTGGTTCCTCTCCTTTTTCTTCTTTTTCTTCCTCAATATCTTCTCTCTACATTCTTTTTACTCCTAATTTCTTTCTTTTCTTCCTTTCATTTCTTCAATCTCTCTAATAATATAGAAAACAAATCAACAGATTATTATTGCTCAATGCCTGTTCCTCATGAAATCCAGGATTTTTCAGAGTTGGAGTTATGAAATTAATTTGGATTTATGAATTAGAATTTTTTGAAAATGAGTTATGCTACTCTTTCAGCTAGCAGTTTCTCAACATTTATCTTTTGGATAGCAAAATCAAAGTAATTTTTTTGACTCTTGAAAGTAGTGTTTATATCTCTACTATGCTAGACAAAAATACCTAATTGGATTTCAAATGTTCTCATTCATTTAACAGTAGTTTATAGTAGTTTATAAACATTTCTTTTTGGTTGAACTGATATGTGTGCCATCCCCCCCCCCAAAAAAAAAGAGGCTTATAGATGTGTTTCCTTGAATTTTCTTACTGTTGAGTTGGGGGCAGAAAATGTGCTTAATTATGTATGTTGAAAAACCAGTAACATGTGTCCATCCATTTATCTGACGATATTCACAACCCTTTTGCAGGGTCCTTTGCAGGTCTGGGATTTTTATCATGGTACTTAGCTGGGAAAATCCAAGCATTTGATCGCAGAGGGCATATATCAAAATTATGCATTGTTTTTTTCCCTCTCCTCCTTGCATCTCTGGTTGGTGTTTCTCGGGTGGATGACTATTGGCACCATTGGCCCGATGTGTTTGCTGCAGCTCTCATAGGTTTGTTCCTTGGCTGGTAATCATTCAATAGCAGAGCAAATTGAATCATATCTGCGATTCAGTGTCTTATGTTACTTAAAATCTGTATAATTTATTATTGCAGGCCTTGTTGTCGCAACATTTTGTTATCTACAGTTCTTCCCACTTCCAAATGATACTAATGGTAACTTCACTTTTCTTTTTGGTTATCTCTTTGTTAGTAATTTAATTTTTCTTTTCTTTTCCTTTTCAATGAACCTTATAATTTTTATGTCCTGCAATGCCTGTAAAAGCTTTGGAAAAAATATAAATAAATGTGTTACCATGAATCTAGACTTTCTTTCCTTCTTTCTAATTTCCTTTTCTTTTTTTTAATAGCGGGGTAGGAAATTTATCTTAGGAATTCTTGTGGGGAACTCATGGAATTTATAAATTTTCTAATATAAAACTTGAATTTAAACATTCTAGAGCGGCATTTCTTTTTGCATTTCCAATCAGATATTGAAAGGAGATGAGAACTATTAGATTGTCTATCAATGTTGTTGCTACTTGTGTCATCATTTCGTGTGAACCCTTGATCAAATAAAAAGTTTTCTGATGTGGGAATTTTTCTTTTTATTGATTAATTGATTATAACACAACTGAAATTTAATGGTTACATTTTATTTTATTTTAAATTTCAGGATGGGGACCATATGCATATTTCCGAGCATTAGAGGAGGTGAATGAGAACCCGCAACTCGGCCATCCTGTGAATGGCCCTCAAGTTTTGAATCTGAATCAGCAACAAATGGGTCGACATAGCGATGCATTTATCCCTGTAAGCAGCTCATCAATTGATATAGAATCTGGGAAAAAGTAATTTGTATGTCTTGGGAATAATTTTAGGTGTGGTTTGTTTGTTCTAGCTAAATTGGGAGGCCCTTGTGAATATTTTGTTTGGAAAGTCTGCATCAACAGTGCATTTAGCAGTGTAGAGGTAGGCATGTTCATGGTAGCTGCTGAATAAGAATGATTGTAGAGAACATTGATTTCAATTGGGTGAATTTCATTGTTCGTCCAAGAAATCAAAGTATATTTTAATCTAGATTGTGATGAGTTGTTTGGTGTAGTTTATGGAGCTGTTTATAGTTTTTTTTTTTTTTATAAATTTTTTGTGTTTGTTGTTGTTTCTACTTACAGTTCATAAGGTATAAATAACTTAAATAAATTGAAAAAATTGATTATTGAGAAGTAGAAGGAGAAATGTTTTTAGCTTCTGTTTTTCAATTGTTAATTTCGGCTTACTAGAAGTTACACCAAATAGACATAATAGAATCAAAACATAATAGGTTTAACTCATATCACACCAGTTTAAATCTACAAAATAAAATCAAATTCTTAACATTTTTTTATAAATATTTTTCACTCTATATTTTCTTTTTTCTTTTTTATGAACAGTGGACCATCCCACATGCCCACCCACCATTTATTGCTTATTGATTTAACATTGTTTAGGTGAACATCTTTTGCTCCATGTTAGGTGGTTTTTGTTTTTTGGGTTAAGCCATGTTAGGTGGTTTGGTGATTTGGGGGACTTCGTGGGCCATATCTTTCCCTTCGTTATAGTTCTGATTCAGTGACTAAGGTAGTCACAGCTATGAGGAACGGGTGCTTATTGGGCTCCTATTGTCAAAAATTAGCTTAGGATATGCCTCTTGTATACCTGTATGTTTCATTATTTTATTTTATGACTTAATTATAAAAAAAAAATCATTGTTGTGTTTAAAATTGATGATAGGTTAGACAATATAAATTAGGGAAAATGAGTCTAAAGTCCCTTTCCCATTTTTAGTAATGGAAGACATTCACAATATTATTTTTTGATGTCTAAGGTTTCTCCCATCTGTCATAGAGAAATTCAGCCCCGTTGATTGTTGTTTCTTTTCTTAAGCTTATTTGCTTTTGTTATTCCAATCCCACCACTATCTCCCTCTATCCTCTCTCTCTCAATCTCTCTCTCTCTCTGTCTAATGGCCAATTTCAAACCCTAATCTCTCCCTTCCTGATTAGTGATGGCGACATCGGCCTTCAAATCAACCACGAAGAGAATGCCAATCAGCTCTCCATCAAATGCCGCCGCTAAATCTAGTTCCTCCACCAAACCTTACCGCCGCTCAAGGAGTCTCAGTCGCTTCTCCCGGCTCCATCCGAACCCCCCTGAATTTGCCGACACTCCGAGAGGAAGATTCGTCAATCATCACAAGAGTAGGTAATGATGATGATGATGAGGATGACGATGAAAGCATATAGTAAATGGTTGTCAATGAAGCTTTTGTAGTTGTAGGGCAAATTGGCTCCTTGATCAACTTAACTACAGCATCCATGGCTCCTTCAATCTCTTCCAAAGCATCTACCTTGTGTTGTTGATCTGCTGTTGACGATGATAGAGACTCTTTCAGCACCAAAACTGCGTTACGTCGTCCTGATAAGTCTCTTCCATGCTTTAAAATCCAAACAATGCAATTCAAAGATACACATGAGCCAAGATGAAACTGGCATTTTCATCAAGTGGAAGCATCAATGTCAAAGCTGACAATATTTCCTCCAAAACTGCAATGTTTTTATGAAAAGACCATTTAGAGAAAGCCTCAAACATGGTAGATAGAACACAACCCGTACCATTTTAATATATATATATAGGTTGCTATTATTACTTATTCACTCAATGAAATGATCTTCTCTCTCTGTTTTGAACTGAAAATTATCTGGATTGATCAAGAGAAATTTTCTGGTTTGAATTGAAATTTCTCTGGGTTGGTCTAGAGAAATTCTCTAGGTTAAATTGAATTTTCTATGGATTGGTCCAGAGAAATTTTATAGTTTGAACTGAAATTTTTTTGGGTTGATCCAGAGAAATTCTCTGGTTTGGCTTGAACTAGTCCTCAATATTGTCTAGAGAAATTTGGCATTTTCTCTGTGAATTTTCTCTGAGAAATTCTCTGAGAGGTCAAGAGAAATAGAGAAACCTCCCAGAGAAATTCTAGTTCTCTGGAGAGAAATTCTTTCAGAGGTCTAGAGAAATTCTGGGGAGAAATTTCTCTGGATGAAATTTCTCTGAGAAGTCCAGAGTAATTCTCTGGATCAAATTTCTCTGGATCAAATTGAGGGACCTTAGACATTATGAAAATATTTGATGTCTTTTATAGTATAAAATCTTAATACCAGGGACCTTAAAAAAAAATCCCATAAATTATTTAAATGCACGATTTAGAGTTCTAAACCCAAAAAAAGAAAAAATTAATTTAAAAGTTGAGAAAAATATTTTTTTGATAAACTGTAGGTCCAAGATGGGAGTCTATTCCCATTGCGAAGTCAATTTCCATGGGCAAAAACAAGTGGCGTTTAATAATGTTGGGGAAATTAATGAGCACTGAATTGACTGAAAAATTATTAGATCCTTTTAGATTGGCAAGTGACGTTGTCTAATTTTTGACAACGTACACGAGTACTGAGTGAATTATTCTTCTTATCCTTTGAATTATTTAATAAATATGAGTTAACATGTCTGATTTATAAAAAGTTTCACTACATATTTTAAAATTTCACGTAATATATGTCGCATAATATTCAAAAAGGTCTACGCTTGAAATGACAATACAAATTTAATGACCATGAAGATGCTAAGCATCAAAGGGAAGCTTGCACTGCAGAGGACATGCTTTTGAAACTTCATTATCATGTCTCTTTTTGACAATAAATTTTAGAAGAAAATATATTTACGGCTTTATAATGCGCTTTTTTTAGTCACTTTCATCCTTCTAATTTAATTTTGTCAATTTTATTCTCAAAATGCTTTAATTTGAATCAAATTAATCCAATTACAAATGATCATTTAAATAGTTAATGGAGTAGTTATGAAATAAATATATGATCCCTAAAGCATGTTTAATCCTCAAATTTTAATTTTGTCTCATCAATTAACAATATAAAATTATGTTTAAGAATAAAATTGACAAAATTAAAAATAAAAATTAGCGATTAAAGTGATATAAAATTTATAGGGTAAATTACAAATACACCTCTTGAGATTTGATTAAAATATGAATCGTCCCATGTCGTTTTGAAAATTACATTCCACCCCCTGAGGTTTCTAATTTCGTAACAAATTGCCCCTTTTATTAATAAATCATCAAATCAATTAACAGTTTTTAATGATATTAAAAATATGTTTCAAGTAATAATTTAGGTAATTTTATTATTGTAAAGGATAGCAATTATGAAATTTATTTATTTTTAGTTAATTCTGTTAAATAAAAAATTCTAATAAAGTGGTATTTGTAATTTTTCAAACCACATGGGACAATCTGTATTTTAAGCAAATCTCAGGAAGTGTATTTATAATTTATACAAATTTATACTTTATAGATCATAAGTATATGTGACTATTATTCCAGTTAATGATTTATATGATTTATTTGAAATGTTAGCAGTTCAACTCAAATTAAAAATGTTACAGGCGAAATCAACACATTCAAAATTTAGAGAACAAAGGTGATTGGAGCTTCTATTTGCATACTATTATTTCTCTCATCAAACACCATTACTCAGTATTCTTTGTTTTTTTGGCTCTTTAAGATAGAGCCTTCCTCTCCCTCCGTGTCTTATCCTATGAATTTTTCTTTTTTACTTTCTTATTCAATACCATGCTAGTCACTACAGCTCCTCCCGTCTCCATCATCGACTTATTACTGTGTAAGCTTTTAGATCTAGACTCAGATCTAATTCATGACCATATCCGACGGTGCTAAATGTGCTTTTATATGTCAAGCGATCACTTCAGATTTATTATTCTTCCTCTAACACTAACCTTAAAGCTATCACCCGTTGTCGCCCTCTTTTGCCATTAGTGTTGTCTTCTTAACCTCATTGCCGGGAAAATTCTATTTCCACACACCAAATTATCTATGTGTACATCTTTTCTCAATCCACACATTTAATAATTTAATTTTCACTTCTTTATCTCAATCCACACACTTCACATTCCAAATATACCCTCTCTTTCTTTGTGAGCATCCTCTCCTTCCATCCTTTCTCACTCCAAAAATCTTAACCCTAACTACACCAGCTACCGGCAACGGCGGCAGCGACGACATCAACCACCGCCCCTTCATGGACGAGGTTAATCATGGTGGGTTGTTGTTGGGTGATCAATCATTGAGTTTCAAGACTTATGATGTGCGTTATTCAGAGTGTTCGATTTGTTCATTCGCCATTTCGAGGGCAACTACTTCATATACTTCTAGGTACTTGTTTGATAACTATACTTTGATTGTTAATGAGTAATTGGATTCAAAGCGTTTGCATCAGACATTATCAGAATCGACCAATGAGTTCAGGAGGTTGGCAGGGTTTCCGGAAGAGGATTTTGGGAGGGTTCTTCCTGTTTATGTTTTCGATTTTGACTTTAACACAATACTGTTGCTTGATCGATATCATTAATCTGTTGCATTTAAAGATATGGTTGTTGCAGTCAAGACAAAGAATACTCAAACTGTGAGCGATTATAGTTGTAATGGTTGTCATGTGTTTACACAAGCTCGGGAGCTTGAGAGACCACTTGTCGGTTCGATTTTACAAAGTATGTGGGGGAGTTTCACTGACTCATCTATTGTGGAGCCCTAGGCACAACAGCAGTTTGGTGGAAATGCTGTGTATGGTTGATGTTTGGCCATGGGAGGCGCTGTCCGGCGGTGGCCGGCGATGAAGTGGCTGGTGAGATGGTGGTAGGTGAGATGTATATAGAGAAATTGTGAGATGTGTGGGTGAGCTGGTGGTGGGTGAGATGGTAATTTTGTTAAAGGATAAAATTGTGATTCTGAAAAAATTCATTAAGTGTGTGGAGTAAGAAAACTTGGTGTGTGAAAATAGAATTTCCCCTCATTGCCTCATCGCACCATTTTCCCAATTCCCTCTATTTCCCATCAGCCCCTTTTCTAAACCTTAACACCATGACCTGTCACTACTATTACTACGACCTAATTACCTTAGGTCTAGGATTTTTAGAAGAAAGAAAACCACATTAGATCTAGGGTTTTAGATAAAAGAAGAATAAGACTGGTGGTGGGAGAG